GAGGGAAAGAGGAGTTAGCATTTAGTGAGTTTCAGTTTGGGAATATAAAGTTCTAGAGACAGATGGTGGTGATGGTTGCACACCAATATGAATGGACTTAAGACCAATGAACTGTATACTTTTAAAAAAAGGTTAAAATAAATTTTATGTTATATTAATTTTTACTACGTTATATAAAAAAGGGAAATCAGATTTAAACAAGTTTTTCTTTACAAAATTAATATAGTTTATGATAAGAATTCTAGATACATGGAAAAAAATCAATTTTTGTTTTCTTTTTATAATAACATAGTTTGTTTAAAACATGTGATACCCCCAGAACCCCACACACACAAAGTTTTAGAAATCCTCCCATAAATGGAAAAAATGCAAAGTCAAGAAAAGAGAGGCATAAACCCCTTTACCTTTCAGACTCTATCACCCACTTTCACCCTTACCTGGTTCTGTCCTTTCCCCTCAGCCCCTCCCTGCAGTCAAAGAGATAGAGATTTCCTCTTCCTTCCTGAGGCTGATTCCCCACCCTTCTGGCCCATCTGGCCCCTCAGGCTCTGAATTTGCTGAAACCTCTGATTCTAAAAACACACAAGTCAGCTGGATTCCCTGGGTCTTCCCCCAGCAGGACCTTCTCCTGGAAAAACTGGTTTGGTGGCAGGTAACAGTGAGGGCTTTACTGCCTGGGGCTGAGTCCTGGGCTCACCGTACACAATTTATTCCCAGCTGTATCTAATCCTCAATCTGCTTGTCTATAAAATATGTGAAATAAGCAGTCCCTTTTTCTCCCACAAATGTGGTAAGGATTAAATGGATAATCATACATGTTAAAGAAAGCACTTTGCACAGTTTCTGGCACATCTTAAGTATTCAATAAATGTTAGCTACAAATCACAATATTTTTTTATGGTTTCTCCCTAAGCCACGTTTCTAGAAATGATGGTCAAAATTGACAGTCACCACTTCTTTTATTCTTTCCCATTTGCTCCTCAACTGCAACCTGTCTTCTCGCTTCACTCCATTCAAATTGTCTGGTAGAGGTTACTGATAACATTCTAATAAAGAAAATAGTGGAAATTCTTTAGCTCTTATCTTGGTAGATCTCTCTGTAGTGGTCAATATGACTGACCACTCACACCACCATATAAACACTATGCAACTGGATTGGTAACCTCTGTTTCCCTAACTCCTCCACCACCCTTGCTCACCCTTGAGTGCCTTGGAGGGGAGATGGCAGAAGGGAGGCATGGCTGGGGATACCTTTTCATTATAACACCTGACTGGCAAAAGACACTCACTGCACGGTCAAAGTTCACCCACAACCCCTGTGACTAATACAAGCCTCTCTTAGGCAGAATTTTTCAACAAATGTGCATCTCCAACTCCCACTTTGTTAACACTTGAAAGTGCACAACTCACCCTCTATCTTTTCACAGAGCTTGTGCAGGCCCTGCAAGGGGCAGCCTTCACACAGCTGGGCTGGCGCTTTAGCTGTCTGCTGTACTGCAGCCACTGTGAAAGCCTGTT